GTATCTGACTTGTAACCTTCTATCATTTGGCTCAGAACAACACAGGCTATACTGAAAACTAGGCACTGATATCTTAAAATCAGAGAGAATCGAACCTAAACGCATAACTACCTTTGTATCCCACAGCTGTTCCAGGTTCTGTATGCTGCTCATAGCTGAGGATGGACTGTACTAGCTGCTGTCTAGCCAGCTGCATCTGTACAGGTCCATCAAGTGAGTCTGAAGATAAATAGCACCAGACCCCAGCCTCACTATGGTCTCGGTCTTCTGCTGCAGCCTTCACCTTCAGGTCAAGGACACTGTCCTGGAAGTAAGGAATTACTATAATGTGAAAAACATTGACATGGGTTCACAAGAATGTATTTGGTACCTACATCTATGGAAATCATTCCCATGAGTTAAAAACAAAAACAAATGATTGCTTTAAAAGATTACTTGTGAGCAATGCCAGCTTACCATCCACTTCCAAAATATGTCTTCATGTTGTCGCCAGTTCATCAGGTTCTGGAGGCTTTCATTGTCCTTATCAAGCAGCACCAGCATCTAAATATGATAAAACACAAGCAGGATATGTAATTGAATTATCATGCAGATGAAAATTCTCACAAGGGCAAGGTTTCTCAAGGATTCCCATTTTTATTCAAAAAGGGAATCTTTATTTGTCTTTTGACAAATGCACATCAGTGCATATGTGTGTACGTGTGTGTTGATGATGAGAGAGAGAGAGAGAGTGTGAGGGGGTAGGGTGTGTGTTAATGATTTTTAAGGGAGTGTGCCACCCATTTTGTTCTGGGTAGGTGTGTGTGTGTGTGAGAGAGAGTGAGATTCACATTGTACATGCTTCTCCACAAACATCATCATCACCCCCTAGCCATAAATTATTAACGGTTCCTAAGATTAGAACCATCAACATAATGTTATGTTTTATTTAAATAAACAATAGCAATCCATTACTCGTTTCAGCAGATGTGGGTGCCTCAGCAAATGGACTTCTAACACCGATAAATTGTCACGGTTCTTTCGGAGTGATATCCCTGTGGTGGTGTTTTCAATCTGAAATGAAAGTTACAAATATTTCAGTCGCTGTGTCAGCTATTGGTGCAGACTCTTATGTATGCGTTAAGGGTGATATCCCAAAGCTTGCTATAATATGTTAAAGATCTTTCATAACAATGGAAAGATAAATTGGGTAACTGGACTTCTCGTGAGACTTTATTTCTAACAGGATTTTCCTATGTCTGGATTACGCACAGGATTTTGATGATCATAAAATATTTATGAGTATGTTTTCCCAAAGATGTGTAGACATTCAATTTCAAGAATGGCATGATAAGCTGTCAGGTCGGAGTGATTATCATTTTAATCTAACTTTAAATCTCTGTTAGATACAGAGAAATATGTAATAACATTGTTCAGTAACAAAGATTTACTCCGTATATACTACACACTACGTTTCCAGTCTAATAAGGTAAAAGTGAGTAAATTGAGATAATGACATCGAATGTACTCAATGTATTTGTTCTAAAGTTAACATGAATATTATAGAAGATGAATTCCACCTGATATTAGTGTGTCCATGTTATGAAGATTTGAGGGAGCAGCTTATACCCCCGTTTCTATCACACATTCCCCTCTAAGAATAAGTTATACCAACTCTTGTCACCAAAAAATGTGAAACATGTAAAAACCTTGCTATATATATTCCTTAAGAGAAACCTACTTACTTAATTATGTATCCAAAACTTTTGTATGCGCAACCATTATTCTGTATATGTATGTGCTCTTGGCCTTGAGGCCTCTACACAGAATAAACTTGTCACTTGAAAGTTATAAATTTGAACTACTGTGTAACCTTTATCAGGTTTATCAACATATATATTGTGATGTTGTCCGTACAAATGGTGCTCATGTAATTGACTTTGAAAATGTGAGGTGAACAAAGTATTTATTGTGACATCAAAATTGAAGTTACATTCAGGAATATTACTGATGTCAAAGAATGATATTCTTAGACTTAGTATATTGTGTATACTGAAGCAGAAAATGGTAAAATACTTCCAGTACAAGTAGCAATAACATATTTTTAACTCAAACATAATTTCTTTCATTCTTGCAATTACAAAATAATATCACTGATGGTTTTCAACTCATCCATTCTAAACTGAAATAGTAAATTAAAACAAACCTTGTTTAGAAGCTTAGCCTCATGTTGCTGAGCTGCGTACATTCGCCGAAGGTTGAGTCGCAGTTTACTATTCAGCACTAGTAGCCTCTGTACTCTCTCACCAGCTGGGGCAGCTGAATCTCCCTTGGCAGTAGGGCCCAAATCACAAGCAGAATTAGGCCACTCCTACAAACACACAGTGCATGCTTATGTACATGGTAAGAATCTACCTTGATCACAAACTACGCAAAAGTTGTCTGTGTGTGTTTGTGTGCATGAGCATGCGCACCTCTGTGTGTGTTCATGTGTTAACTGAGGGTTTAATGTCTCCAAGGACATCATCTGATGGAAATCTGCTTTGCATGTGGAGAAAATCTGTAAGTCTGATTTTCCTCACCTTACACCACTGTGAGATGTTTTCATCCAAAGGAGACGTACACTTGTCCATGAACCTCTCAATCAATGTCTCTTTACACACCAGCCATGCCATAGCCAGCAATAGTTCGCGACTTCCCCTTGAGGCATCATTTGGCAAGTGAGCAAAGTCATGTGACATGTAACCACGACTTTGTAGTTCTCGCTTGACAAGAACACACTTCTCCTCTGTGAAGAAAGCAGTCAATGTACACATAAAGAATTGTTATACAATTGTAGAAACTGTGTGGACTTTGTTTATAGTGATTATAAGTGGTTGCAAATGACTGAATTGTGACAAGAGGGCAATTTGAATCCTTTCCAACCTGATTTGTTTGTTATCAATTTACCAAGTGAGGATTAGATCCCTTTTTGTAAACATCTGATTCTATACCACTTTTCAATTCAAGAACAGAGAAGGCCTGTTTCAAGACATTCGACTATGACATAATTTTGTCTGTAACAGATCATGAACCAGTGGTTGACTGTACCAAGAAATGAAGTATGCAGCTGAGCATGACCATATTCCAGTTCAAACAGTTTGGGATCTATTGCTCTATGCTATCACCCTTTGGAACAGGAGATATTGTGAATAATTCCATTCCCAGACACACTGTTGGACCATCGTGTCTACCACATTCAGCATGTCATTTTCTTCTCACATTAACGTTCTGGTATAATCCTAAAACAAGCATGGAATACAATCATATGAAGTGTGTATTTCTCAGCTGTAGAAAACGTGAAAAAGGAAAACATAGCAATCGTCATGTTCATAACGTATGACCTCACCGTCTGAAAGCTGCCTCTGGGCCTTGACAGCAGAGTCGTCAACTACTCCATAATTGCTGAAGTATACCAGCTCAAACAACAGCTTCCACAATGCGGGTGTCTGTAACAACGGCATAAGAATCTACATTGAAAAGTTGCCCTGTGCAATAAACAAGGTGTTGTTATCCGTTTACTGCATTTAAAAGGCATGACAGGATACTGTCAGATCATTTATCACAAGTTAAGTAAGATGACAAGACAAACAACACGTTTTAATCACAATTACCAAGACTAAACATACATACCGGCCCTAAATAGTACTACATAAAATCGTGTTTAACATCATTATAAATGGGTTATAAGTAAAAGCGATATATATATTTCACAATCGGTGACGTTTTGGGTGTTGTTTCAGTCTGCACCCAGATTTTGAAGCAGGGTTTCAACTAGTCTGTCTCACAGTCCCTGAACCACATTAATTTCCCTACTGCCAAGCCCTATCTGCAGTGCTAAAGCCCTAAATAAAGCAAGTCTAGATTTCCTCAGGTTCAGGTTCTGAATCTCTGGTCCAACTAGGGCTCCTTTTCAATATAAATGGGCTTGTTTGTTACTATCTAAATTATATATATTCAGAGACTAAGCCTTAGTCTAGGTTTCCGCGAAAATCTCACCGCTTCGTAATTGTTGAACTTTGCCAAGCGAAATGTTTCTGCGGTGACAAGTGATGCTCCATTTTCGTTCAGTATTGTTGATAGCAGTTCTATGGTTTCCCTTACTTGAGTTGACCCAGACATGGTTATTAAGAGGTGTTTGAAAACGGTCACATATTGACTGTGTCTGAACGTTTGTTTACCAGTTATTTAGCACTTCCGGTTACAGAGAGAAGACGCTTTCATAATGCTCTCACAGAATATTACTTAGTACGTGATGTCCTAACACAATATCTCTCCTTGGCTGACTTGCTTTTATCCATAGAACCACAACAAAGTAGAACTCAGTATCAATCAAATGTGGAAATAATGCTTGATAACGTAAAGTCCCTGCTGGGTATCACACAGGAACCGTTAACGCCAACACCCCGTTATAGCGCGCATGTGATCGCGACTCGTTTCACTCGTCTGTTTCGTTAGAAGGGGAAAGTGTTTATCCACAGACAGTGGTGCTCAAAACTCACTTGTTACGAATATATATGATAAGTGATCGAAATTCTCGTCGGGTATACGAAATGCAAATGTTACTTAACGTTATAAACAAAAATATAACAAATAACTGAACAATAACTCACACAAGGAAGAGAGTCTTATGAATGTCAAATAGCTTCTTTATAATGAGGTACACATAACTGACATGATAAAATGTACACGAAAGGCAAACCATATTTACAGTAAAATAATTAAGAGGAATTTACAGGGGAGAACGATTTATTATATGAGCATACACAGCATTTGCATAGAAATATGTCACCTTTCTAACAGATAAGGAAAACAGGGTACTTAATATATATTGACATAGACTGACGACGGGGCTTCTTAGGCTGAACATTAACGAAGGAAGATGGTTAGGGTTAGATTTAAGTTAACGTTTTTGTCTTCTTTGTAATTTGGGGATGAACATGAATTTATCATTTTATCTTAATATGTAATTCCTGTAAGAACATCTATACCTGCCTAAAATGTAAACTGGCATAAACCGAATATCTACTCGTATTAGGCTTCTGTCTTCGAACGATGTGGGGTTACTGAGAACATTATGTAAATCTATATCTCAAAGTCATCAAATGAGACACAATTTTATAATTACTGGAATAATTTAAAGTAATATACGTTCAAAGTCATGCATGATTGTAAGTGCACTTTCTGTATCGGCCAGTGACCTAATCAGTTGTGCAGAATCCTGCAGAAATCTCTATATGATTCAGCTTTTCGTTACAGCGTTCGGCAGGCAAGTCCATATAGTATACGCGCCCAGCCTATTATCAATGTTGTCAAGCTTCGGCATTGTTTCGCGCCGTCGGGATTTAATAACTTTATCCCTAAAGACCGTGCTTACCCAATAGTGCCAATCACTGATGGCACAATTTAAATGTGCACTTTGAAAAAGCAGAGTGGGTTTGTTGGTTAAAACAATCTCTAAAAGAGGTAAAACAACCTTTTAATGAAAACCGTTGAAGAATAACACTATTGTCAAATACATAAGAGATAGCTTAAAGTGAAGTTATTTTTCTGGAGACTAGTTCACGTCAACATTCAACAGAAAGATCGTCATCATGTTGGTCAGTCGTTGTTTACAATCCCTCTGAAATTGCTTCCTTCAAACCGATGTTACAACTACATTAAACTCTTAATATTCGAAATCCTTTTCAAATGTGTTTATGTACTAGTATTGCCCAATATAGATATTATTGAAACACTCCTTTCTATCCGCTGTCAAACGATACACAGTACCGATACATAGAAACATTTCTTGTTCAATATATTAATGACGTCGATGTTGATGGTGTTGGAGAGATCCTCCAGGATGGAGCTGTCAGGATACTGAGAGGAAGAATAATGACAATTATTATGGATATACAACTTCTTTTATTCTGTGGAGGCGACGTTTTGACATAGATTCTAATGTTGTTGTCATCTGACAATTGTGTAAATGGATATGCGTTCGACGGTCATCACGACTATATAGCGTCTTTACTGGAAAAAAGGCTGTTCTCGTGAAGCCTATTCTTTCGTTAATGTCTGTCCCTTCCACACATTATAAGGATTCCTCGGTAGGATTTGTGAATTGTTGCCTGTGTTTGTTTATGAAATTGTAACACAAAGAACGAGGCCATTTAAATGTAGTGTCCATGCATGTGTGCTACGTAGGGCGGCCTCTTTGATGCAGGTGTAAAGTTTTGACAGGTAAGTGAGTACACGCTCACCCGGCGGAGACTTCTTTAATGTACAGCTACCTCATCTACGACCGCTACCTTTTTAATTAAACAAACAAAGATATATTTCTCATAGCTGTGAAAACAATCAAGATGTTCCAGCTTAAACAGCATGGCGGCTATGCATGAAGGACTAATTCCTGATTGCTAACAACACAAATGTGGGAGTAATGAGTGGGTGGTGTATGGGGGTCGACTTGAAAGAAGTCCGAAAGTCATGCTACGGTAATAAATACTGCAACGCTCCTACTTCAGGCATCAGTCACAGATCTGCGCTCATCTGAACCAGCTAAACTTGTCACGACGATCATCTTCACATTATTCGCAATTTGCCCTTTGAAAGATTTCTACACAATTACGACGCCAAAATGAAGGTGAAAGAGCCCCGACACCAGGCCAAGCAAGTAGCGTAAACAAGACAATCGTTCCGGCCAGGAACCGAATCAAAATACTCTTCTAGTCAGGTAAACATTTCATTACTCCAAACGTCAAATGGAAAACAAAGCATAAACGCTAACCTAACGCTAATCACACAAAATACATGTGAAACCAGATTTCATCTGCACCATTCATATCCACAGTTGAGCCAGCTGGAGAAGGTGTTCCTGTCCTCTCAGTATCCTGACAGCTCCATCTTGAGGATCTCTCAACACCATCAACATCGACGTAGAGACTATCGGTAGGTGGATGAGCAAATCCCCAATGACTCTTATACTTGATCGAAGTTGGTCGTACAATACATCATATATCTGAAATATCAGGATGGGATAAAACTCATTTACCCTAATAAAAACACGTAGTTGCCAGCAGATATATACCACTGGGCTAATTTCTCAACTAAATTACTTTGTATGGTATCATATTTCGGGTATAAATAATTGTTTCAGATATCGTTTCCTCATTGGTAAAAACCCCACTCCAACCCATACAAGAGACCTTGTGTTTTTGAAATGTCTTAATATAAGTGGCCACATCGTGGCATACAGATCTGGTTTCAGAACCGACGTTCCAAGTTCAAGAGACAGTCTAAAGGTGCTCACGTCAACTGGATGAGACAGCAACTGTATCAACAAGAAACATCACAGCCACGTGACTTAACGGCAACGGACAAGTGTCACGTGCTCACACCACCGACGGCTGTCAAGAAAGATGACGTGAAAGACAAACCCAAATCAAAGTAAGTACACACCAAACGACCATATATTCATCAGTTAGTTTTGCAAGTGTATGGTGCTCTGAATAGCTTGACACACTCTTCTGTCACTCTCGTGCTCACAACATTTTCTTGTGCTTCAGTCTTCACTACCTGCCCAGCACCGGACCCGGATACTCCTCACTGACGGACTACGACCCCGTCTACAATCCCAGGATGCTCCCATCATCTCACAACGTCTACAGCGCTCTCACTGACGCAGTATCCAGTACACGGCCTGTCCAGCAGAGTTCTCTTCACTACCCACATCTGATGACAGAAACATCGTTCCAAGTCACGCCAAGCCCGCAACAGTGGACGGAGTATTCCAACCAGACCAACTTCAGCTCTCCCTTAAGTCCATACCACCAGAATTATCTTCTCAACTGCCTTAGCGATCCCATGACATTCCCCCAGATCGGTGTCTAGATCTCCCAGGGACACATTCGTGTTATGATGCAGCACGCCGGTGTGTGTATAAATGTATTCCATGTCAATTGGTTACAGCAGTCCAATGATGAACTCATCTTTGGCTTGCTTTGTTACTATTAATATATATATTGTTATGTTTTTGTTATGGATTGCAAGTATAATTTCAATATGACTGTATATGATTCTAAGATAATAAACATTATCTAAAAACTATTACGTTTCATGTTATTATACAGCATGCATATCACAACTTTTCATATAGTAAACTGCCTACTCAGGTGTCATACAGAAGCAAGGTATCATAAACAGGTGAATCTTGGATTCAAACTCTCAGTTTGTGTACACTGGCATGAGTGGGACACGTGCTTCTTGCAAAAGCGAATGTCGGCGCCATTTTCGACCCTTTAATCAAATGAATCGGTTTGATGGAGATTCATTGTTGAAAATGAACAATTTCCTATTGATTGAAATTACATATAGAGTATGAATATACGTCTTCTCCTCGCCAGCGGGGGCTCGGTTAAAAGAAGATTTGTAATTAGATCTACTATCTGTCGTTGATTCCTAAAGCCAAGACATGCAATAGCGAAGGCTCAACTGAGAGATGGTCAGCAGCCAGAGATAAGAAACGAAATCACATCAACATCCGAAAATGGAAATGGTATCAATACAAAAACCTTTCTAACAGATAAGGAAAACAGGGTAATATATTGACATAGACTGACGACGGGGTTTCTCAGGCTGAACATTAACGAAGGAAGATGGTTAGGGTTAGATTTAAGTTAACGTTTTTGTTTACTTTGTAATTTGGGGATGAACATGAATTTATCATTTTATCTTAATATGTAATTCCTGTAAGAACATCTACCTGCCTAAAATGTAAACTGGCATAAACCGAATATCTACTCGTATTAGGCTTCTGTCTTCGAACGATGTGGGGTTACTGAGAACATTATGTAAATCTATATCTCAAAGTCATCAAATGAGACACAATTTTATAATTACTGGAATAATTTAAAGTAATATACGTTCAAAGTCATGCATGATTGTAAGTGCACTTTCTGTATTGGCCAGTGACGTAATCAGTTGTGCAGAATCCTGCAGAAATCTCTATATGATTCAGCTTTTCGTTACAGCGTTCGGCAGGCAAGTCCATATAGTATACGCGCCCAGCCTATTATCAATGTTGTCAAGCTTCGGCATTGTTTCGCGCCGTCGGGATTTAATAACTTTATCCCTAAAGACCGTGCTTACCCAATAGTGCCAATCACTGATGGCACAATTTAAATGTGCACTTTGAAAAAGCAGAGTGGGTTTGTTGGTTAAAACAATCTCTAAAAAGAGGTAAAACAACCTTTTAATGAAAACCGTTGAAGAATAACACTATTGTCAAATACATAAGAGATAGTTTAAAGTGAAGTTATTTTTCTGGAGACTAGTTCACGTCAACATTCAACAGAAAGATCGTCATCATGTTGGTCAGTCGTTTAATCCCTCTGAAATTGCTGCTTCAAACCGATGTTACAACTACATTAAACTCTTAATATTCGAAATCCTTTTCAAATGTGTTTTTGTACTAGTATTGCCCAATATAGAAATTATTGAAACACTCCTTTCTATCCGCTGTCAAACGATACACAGTAAAGATACATAGAAACATTTCTTGTTCAATATATTAATGACGTCGATGTTGATGGTGTTGGAGAGATCCTCCAGGATGGAGCTGTCAGGATACTGAGAGGAAGAATAATGACAATTATTATGGATATACAACTTCTTTTATTCTATGGAGGCGACGTTTTGACATAGATTCTAATGTTGTTGTCGTCTGACAATTGTGTAAATGGATATGCGTTCGACGGTCATCACGACTATATAGCGTCTTTACTGGAAAAAAGGCTGTTCTCGTGAAGCCTATTCTTTCGTTAATGTCTGTCCCTTCCACACATTATAAGGATTCCTCGGTAGGATTTGTGAATTGTTGCCTGTGTTTGTTTATGAAATTGTAACACAAAGAACGAGGCCATTTAAATGTAGTGTCCATGCATGTGTGCTACGTAGGGCGGCCTCTTTGATGCAGGTGTAAAGTTTTGACAGGTAAGTGAGTACACGCTCACCCGGCGGAGACTTCTTTAATGTACAGCTACCTCATCTACGACTGCTACCTTTTTAATTAAACAAACAAAGATATATTTCTCATAGCTGTGAAAACAATCAAGATGTTCCAGCTTAAACAGCATGGCGGCTATGCATGAAGGACTAATTCCTGATTGCTAACAACACAAATGTGGGAGTAATGAGTGGGTGGTGTATGGGGGTCGACTTGAAAGAAGTCCGAAAGTCATGCTACGGTAATAAATACTGAAACGCTCCTACTTCAGGCATCAGTCACAGATCTGCGCTCATCTGAACCAGCTAAACTTGTCACGACGATCATCTTCACATTAGTCGCAATTCGCCCTTTGAAAGATTTCTACACAATTACGACGCCAAAATGAAGGTGAAGAGCCCCGACACCAAGCCAAGCAAGAGTAGCGTAAACAAGACAATCGTTCCGGCCAGGAACCGAATCAAGTACTCTGCTAGTCAGGTAAACATTTCATTACTCCAAACGTCAAATGGAAAACAAAGCATAAACGCTAACCTAACGCTAACCACACAAAATACATGTGAAACCAGATTTCATCTGCACCATTCATATCCACAGTTGAGCCAGCTGGAGAAGGTGTTCCTGTCCTCTCAGTATCCTGACAGCTCCATTTTGGAGGATCTCTCCAACACCATCAACATCGACGTAGATAGACTATCGGTAGGTGGATGAGCAAATCCCCAATGACTCTTATACTTGATCGTAGTTGGTCGTACAATACATCATATATCTGAAATATCAGTATGGGTTAAAACTCATTTACCCTAATAAAAACACGTAGTTGCCAGCAGATATACCACTGGGCTAATTTCTCAACTAATTTACTTGTATGGTATCATATTTCGGGTATAAATAATTGTTTCAGATATCGTTTCCTCATTGGAAAAACCCCACTCCAACCCATACAAGAGACCTTGTGTTTTTGGAATGTCTTAATATAAGTGGCCACATCGTGGCATACAGATCTGGTTTCAGAACCGACGTTCCAAGTTCAAGAGACAGTCTAAAGGTGCTCACGTCAACTGGATGAGACAGCAACTGTATCAACAAGAAACATCACAGTCCCGTGACATAACGGCAACGGACAAGTGTCACGTGCTCACACCACCGACGACTATCAAGAAAGATGACGTGAAAGACAAACCCAAATCAAAGTAAGTACACACCAAACGACCATACGTTCATCAGTTAGTTTCGCAAGTGCATTATGCTCTGAGTAGCTTCGACACACTCTCCCGTCACTCTCGTGCTTACAACACTTTCTTGTGCTTCAGTCTTCACTACCTGCCCAGCACCGGATCCGGACACTCCTCACTGACGGACTATGACCCAGTCTACAACCCCTTGATGTTTCCATCATCTCACAACGTCTACAGCGCACTCACTGACGCAGTATCCAGTACACGGCCTGTCCAGAGTTCTCTTCACTACCCACCTCTGATGACAGAAACATCGTTCCAAGTCACGCCAAGCCCGCAACAGTTGACGGAGTATTCCAGCCAGTCCAACTTCACTTCTCCCCTAAGTCCATACCACCAGAATTATCTCCTCAACTGCCTAAGCGATCCCATGACATTTCCCCAGATTGGTGTCTAGATACATTTGTGTTCAGATGCCGCACGCGGGTGTATACATGAATTCCATGTCAAATGGTTACAGCAGTCCAACGATGAACTCATCTTTGGCTTTCTTTGTTACTATTAATGTATATATTGTTGTGTTTGCGTTATGGATTGCAAGTATCATTTCAGTATGACTGTATATGATTCTGAGATAATAAACATTATCTAAAACCACAGGTTTCATGTTCTTATACAGCATGCATATCACAACTACCATTCGATAAACCATGAGCACAGGTGTCATACAGTAACAAAGCATCAGAAGCAGGTGAATCTTGGATTCAAACAGTCGATTTGTGAAGACTGGCATGACTGGGGCATACTTTCTTTCAACAGTTTTATTCATTATCAGTAGGTACATTCATTTTATACAAAAAATCATACATAGGTACAGTGATAGGTGCAATCATTTTATACAAAAGTCATACATAGGTACAGTGATAGGTACAATCATTTTATACAAAAGTCGTTGCAATCAAGGCTGTATAATTACGGATCATCTAGGCTTGAACAATTAGGTAAAGTCGGTGCTGTGGGTAATATTACTTGTTTGCTCGTGGGTTCATTTGGTTTGTTTTATAACAGGAACATATCATTCCGGGTAGCCAGAAGTAGGAACATTCATACATTATTATACAGATGTCATGCCTAATACAGGCTTGTACATGTTGACAATTCACAACGCATCAGTCTTCAACCATGAGTAGGTCCATTCAAATATTACTGTACAAAGATCATACATTGTACACATTGACGAGTCATGACACATCAGACCATAAGAAAGTTATTAATCCTAAAATCATAGATACATATAGGTTTAGAATTGTCTATCAGCCTTATCCATTTAAGAGGTTACTAACAGCTCGATGATGGTCCTAAACAAGTACCCTTAAGATTGAATTGTTTTCAAGTCTACAAACGATAAGAGCCCGTTCTCGTCACATACGTAGGTCTCTTATATAATGCACTCATGCTATTTTTAGGATACTGAGCTTTAGCGATGATGTAAAACACATTTATATCTACCATTCTCAATCCACCATTCTCATAGTTACTCGTCTAATTCGCCCGTTTAATTTTTATCAGGTTTTGGAGTTCCAAATAAACTTAAAGAAAATTGAATTTAGTTCAACAAATGTAGTTTAACAAATTCTTTGAATTGGTTGAGGCAATGTAGAGAATATGTGAACAAGAGTAGATAATGCTAAAGTTTTTCATCACCGTTTTTTTTCCAATTATTGTCAATTTACGTTAATAATTTTGCTATTAATCCATTAATGTGTTCTAGTCTTTTTCTGGTGTTGATAACCCATAGTCTTTCTAAATTTGCGTTTGGTTGAATACCATGAACTTCAAAGTCACCATGAACCCAATCTAGATTAACATCTTCGCACACTTCGCATGTTCTTTCCAATCAGTGACCCAAGCCATATGACTTGGGGCATACTTTACAAAGGGAATTTCGGCACACTCGATCAGAAGATGCTGAGCTATTTTCGCTCCGCTATAATCCAATGAATCAGTTAGGTGGAGATTCATTGTTGAAATTGAACAATTTTCTATTGAGATTTGGATATGACGTATAATGCATGGATATACATCCACACCTCGTTATCGGGACTCAGTTAAAGAAGATTTGTAATTAGATCTACTATCTGTCCTTGATTTCCTAAAACCAAAACACGCAATAGCAAAGGTTAAACTGAGAGATTGACGTATATAAACAGCAGCCAAATTAAGAAATGGAATCATAGAAACATACGAAAATGGGGCTGTTATCAATGCAAAAGACAGATCTTTTATCACAGTTCAAACTGAAAATAAATATGTGCACCCTACTCACATACATGAGTCACAGAGAGGTTCAGGTCAGTGGAAATTGCTAAGTCGGATGCTTGGTTTGTTGTCTAATGCCGCACTCAGCAATATTCCAGCTATATGGCGGCGATCAGTAAATAATTCATTCTGAATCAGACAATCAAGTGATCAACATCATGAGCATCGATCTACGCATTTGGGATACGATGATACGTGTCAACCAAGTCAGCGAGCATGACCACCCTATGCCGTTAGTCGCCTCTGTAACCTGGACCTTCAAGGGTAGAAGTTGCTAAGACAGAAGGCGTATTCTTAAACCCGTAAAGCAACAACAATCAACAGGCTGTCAACATGTGTAATGCAACTACGACATACAGCCTGAAGCCCATTTACATGATGTTAGTTTATATGCAACATCATTTGACAGGTAGCATCATAACACGAGAAAGTTGCACCATTTACCTCACCATGGATTGGTGAGGACTCCCTTAGCCCAAATGACATAACTCATGGGATATATCAACCTTATTTCTTATGAACCAAATTATGACCATTATTGATATATTTTCCCACTTATGCCAATTCGGTACAATTTTCAAGCGTGTAAATGGATATGAGTTCGACGCTCATCGCGAATGCGGCACGACAGATATGGTGGTGCTATCTGGTTTCACATTTTTATTGACGATTGGCGTTGAGTTGGCGTTATCTTTGTTTTCCATTTGACGGACTGGGCTATTCGAATGTTTGCCTGACAACGAAGTACTTGTTCGGTTCTGATATGGGCTGACCGATGCTTCGTTTACGCTACGCTTTAGCGGCTGATGCTCTTCACCTTCATTTTGGCGTCGTATTGTGTGAAATGTTTTCGGGCGAGTGCGACAATGATGCGTCACGGACTGGGCGCAATCTGGCTGACTGATAACCTTGACTGTTGTGCCGTAGCATGTTTCTGACTTCTTTCGAACATACCGCTCCCGCATTTATTTGGACGTTAGCAATCGGCTCGTGCGCCTCCATGCTGATTGAACCGCTGACAGAAAGTGCTATCTTTGTTTGTTTGGTAAAGGTGAACAACTGGTAAGAAACTTCAATAACACCTGTTTACGCCTGCATCAACGCCCTCTGTAACGCATGCATGGTTACTACATTTAAATGACATAGTTAACGTGTTACATTCGTAAACGGCAATTAAATCTACCGGAATCGCCATACAATGTTGTGGAAAGAAGTTTGGTAACAAAATGAGCTTCACGAAATAACCTTGTTTCCCCATTGCGTTTTGACTTCATCTCCCATTTGCGCTTGACCAGGGTGATAAAGATGGGAAATGTATCGTAATGTTGTTCGTAAATGAATGATGGCCATGAGTTATCGATAAATTTTGAATGAAGTCTCGCCAATCCCGTGGAATAAATGGTGCGGCACTATAGTGTTATGTTGCCACTAAACTAACGGCGACAATATTGGGCTTCGGCGTCGTGGTTGCGATGAAGTGCGCCTTCTGTCTTAACGGTGACGCGAAGGTCGGGTTACGGAAGACGGTCATGCCCCAGTTGATATCTCATTTAATCCCCAAATGCGTCCGATGCGATTCGAAATGGTATTTGCTGATCATATCTATATGGTTGCTGAGTTGTTTTGTGGCTCCGACAACAATTTCTAATTTCTCTGTGTTTCAATGGCAATGATGAGATTATATTTATTTTCGGTTTAATTTTATTAAAGATCGTCTTTGCATTGATAACGGCCCGATACCTAAACAATGTTTCACAACGATTCCATTTCTTTGAGCGGCCTGTTTATATACGTCGATCTCTCGGTTCTTTAACGAAATAAAGGACGATAGTGAATCTGATACAAAATCTTCGGTCCGAATAACGGGTGATGATCTTCATGTATGCGTCATACGTCATCATCCAAATCAAATGAAAAGAGCCGTTCATTCGGCAATGAATGCTCACTAACTGTTCGTGGATATAGCGGGCGAAAATAACTCGGCATCTTCTGTAACTAATTTGTTGGAAAGAATGCGAATGCGGAGTGTTAATCTGGGTGAGTTCATGTTGACTTTAGTTCATGTTATTCAACACCAAACATACTATGGTTATCGGCACCGAAAAGACTGGGGCTGCGACCGGATTGATAACGGAAATTGTCAATGAAATTGACGACAATTGGAAGAAAACATTGATCAAACTTTGGCATTATCAACAACTGTTCACGTATTCTTCTGCGTGCACTCGGCTCACCAATTTGTTGAGCTTCGTTGTTGAACTAAATTCATAACTGGTTGTTGTAAACTGATAAAATTAAACGGTGGTCGAACGACTGTAATCGATTGGTTAATGATGAATCGCAAATATTCGTTTTGTCAAATAAGCTGGCGTATCCCCAAAACCAACGTGGTGCGTTATGAAGACTGCGTCAACGGTGAAGAACTGACTCTTTGCGGCAGACTTGGCTGGTCTTGGTGCTGTTTGAGCCGTCGTCGGCTTGTTAGTAACATAACTTCTATGAATGAACTGATAGTTTCAATTCTTTAAACCTATATGTATCTGTGATTTTGGGATTGATAACTTTCTTATGGTCACCGATCGTGATAATGACCGATCGGTATTGTTGCTGATAACGTGATCTTTGTGCGGTAATGATGATGGACCTGCTCGTGGTTGAAGACGATAGCGTTGTCGGCTGTGTACAAATGACATCTGTATCGGCGTAACGTGAATGTTCTGCTTCGGCTGCCGGGTACTGTTGAGCCAAATGAACCCGCGACGAAGCTGATACCCGCGGCGCCGTGCGTTGTTCGAAGCCTGAATCGATCATGCGTTTATTGTAAAATGATTGTGCCGCTGTACCTGTATTTTTGTGTAAAATGAATGTTACTTTGATGAATAGTGCTTTATGCCGATTCTGGAAACGTCTTACCTTCTGATAACTTTCGTGCTGGCGCGACACCTGACTGACTTTCATCGTTTGGCGGATGACGGACGTGACAACCGTAGACATTGATATTGATTTGGAACAATGTTGGGGAATCGCTATGCAGTCATGCTAATGATGCGCAATCCGCTAACAAACACTAACAATATATACGATTAATGGCTGAAAGCCAGATGGTTCATCGTTGAACTATATTTTCATTTGACGTAATTATCGCGTATCGAACACTGAAGTAATCTGAAATCGTGGATCATGGGCAGTTGAAGTATTCTGGTATTGAACGGGGAAGTTGAACTGGCACTCGATCGCATTGTTAATGTTTCTGTCGAAAGATTAATGACGGACGAGCATTATTCACT